AGTGGTCATGCTAAGAATTCTTCTACCGACTAAATTAGAGGACTGGAAGCTGGTAGAAGCTATTAATAAGAATGCCTCTAATGGAGATACCTATTATACTACTTTAATCGAGAATAGAGCTTCTCTAAGATAAAAGGTCCTAAATATAAAGATTCTAGTTTTAATCCCTTAGATGATCTATTTCGACCTGGAATTTGGCTGTTTAATAGCAAAGGAATTAGTCGATATAGCTGACGGCGTTACTGATACTATCTAGCTAGACTCTACTCCTTTCTATAAGAAAAGGCTGTTAGGGAACGTCGAAATAAATATTCTTAAGGGATGGGAAGAGCTGGAGTTTGTGATACGGGACGGCCTGCTATTCTCTAAAACTTACTTTGACGATTTAGCTTGGTAATGTGGAGTTCTTATGGTTGCAATTAGCTAGGAAAAAGACCCTTCGACTTTCTAGGATGATTCTGTTCTTGCTCCAGGAGACTATATTGTAATAAATAATAAAACCATAAAGAAGGTCTCTTATAGGAAGGAATTGAGGAAGTTTAACTACAAAGTATCTAATGAGATAATAATGAAGGCTTTTACGAACCTCATCTAGAATATTAATATATAGCTGTGGTTAATATACCAAGACCTCCCGAGGCTTTAGGTGAGACTTGGGCATCCTAATGGTTATACCTGGGAAGCTATCCTAGATATGGGTGCTGAAGGCAATATTATCTTAGACTACATTGTTAAGACCAGCCAGCTCTCATTCACACCTAGCTCAGCTAAGACTATATCCTTCTTGAAAGATTCAATTCTAATGGCTGGGATTGTTACTACTAATGTCTATATGGGCAATGTCTTTATAGAATAGAAGATGTATATGGCCCCTATATTAGCAGTTTCTATCCCCTTTATCTTAGGGATGTCTTTCTTTTAAAGTGTAAAGGTTACCTTTAACTATAGCACTATTCCTGGGGAGATGTTAATGAGCTGCAAGCTAGAGACTATCAACTTAATATCTCCAGTTGCGGGCGGAATATGAAGAGTTAACTCGGTTGCTAATGAAGTAGTACTGGGGGGGTTGTTATAAGTGCACCGGAACCCTCTAAACTGGCTATTAATGATGTCTATAGTTTAGAGGAGGATGACGTTGAGTATATTATTAGATATGTTGACAAAAGACGGCATGGAAAGTCTTTAAGATTATTCTTAAAGACTAGATAAAGGAAAACGATCTAATGCAGTCTAGAGTTAAGAAAACTCGCGCTCTGGATAGCGGCCAAGAGGATATAACAGTCTGGGTTAATACTATATATAAAAGGAAGGCTAATAAGGTCCAGCCCAGGGATGATATCCCTTCTGATAGATCTATGCCTAAAGGGGACTCGTTCTGGTGCGATAAGAAATGGGATGAGGTTAAAGAAAACCTGGAAAAGGACTCCCCTTTTTCTGACTATATTACTCTCAAATTCTCGAAAATTAAGAAGGGATTAAGGCTCTTTAGCGAGAGATTAGACGCTCTAATGGGGCAGACCAAGGATACCCTTAATGATGCTGAGAGGGAAATCTTCTATTAAATTATCTTCAATTGGGAAGAAGCCCTAGCTTGGACCTTTAAGGAAAAAGGGGAACTTGACTCTAGGATTGCTCCCCTATAAGTTATTAAAATCACACCCTATATAGCCTGGCAGTATGGTAATGTAGTTATCCCTTATAGAATCAAGGCTAAGGTTATCTAGCTGCTAAAGGAAAGATTAAAGAATAAGATTATTAAAGAAAGTTATGCTTCTTATAGGAACTGGTGGATGCTTATAGCTAAAAAAGATAGGGGCTTGTGCCTTATTAACTTAGCTAAGAGGTATAATACCTATACTATTAGGGATGGAATGATTCCTTCTAGGACTAAAGACTTCTCTGCTGAATTTGGAATGTATTAGATCCTTTTAGTTCTTGACTTCTTTTCTAGATACAATCAGATCACCCTGGACGTGAAAAGCAGGGACTTAATGACCTTCCAAATGCCAATTAGTCTATTTAGGCTATGCACCCTCCCTTAGGGAGCCACGAACTCAGTGGCCCAATTTACTAGAATCATGACAAGGATCCTTTTCGACCTAATGCCTAATAAAGCTAGGGCTTTTCTGGATAATATTGGTGTTAAGAGCCCTATTGAGGACTATAATGGGGAGGAGTCCCTTTCTAGTATTAAATAGTATGTCCTAGAGTACCTGATAAACCTCGATGCTGTTCTGGTTAATGTGGAGCTTTTAGGCTGTTTAATTGCTGCAAAGAAGTCATTCTTCTACTAAAAGGCCGCTCCTTTAATGGGATATCTTTGTGGGACTTATAGTTGCAAGCCCATGAAGGATAAGGTCTTGAAGATTGTTAAATAGGAAAATTACTTTAACTAGACTGGAGTTAGGGCCTTCCTAAACATCTCAGGATACTATAGAATCTGGATTGAAAAGTATACTTGGATTGCTAAGCTTCTTATTGAGCTACTGAAGAAGGATATCCTCTAGAAGTGGGAAGATGATAAGAAGGAAGTGATGAGGGTATTAAAGGAGAGGATTGTTACGGCTCCTATCCTTGTCTCTCTCGATTTATCTGAAGGAGCTGGAGAGGTTATTCTGATGATTGATGCCAGCATCCTAGGCTGGGGAGCTGTCCTGATGCAGATAATAGATGGAAAATGTCACTTTGTGAGGTTTGAATCTGGTACCTGGTTAGATGCTGAGAAGAGGTATGATACGATAAAGCTGGAGTGCAAGGGAGCTCTTTATGCTGTTAGATGCATGAGGATGCAGATCTATGGATATCCCTTTATTTTGGAGACTGACTTAAGGGTCCTTGTTGATTAGATTAATAATAGGGCTGATGATATACTAGGATTGATGGTCGTCTGCTAGATTAGCTACCTCTTGCTCTTTGACTTTACTGTTAGACATGTTCCAGGAAAGAAGAATACAGTAGCCAACGGTCTTTTAAGGAAAGGGGAGGGACCTTCTAACCTTCTAGACTGAGAAGCTAAAGGTGATATTGAGGATGAGATTGACGTCTGCCTTAACTTTGTTCTTTTTGGCCCTGAAGATAAGAAACTGGAAGATAGCTATATAGGTGAATGGCTAGTCCTAGGGAATTATTTAACTTTTCTAAAGCGACTGGAGGGACTTTTAGCAAGAGACTTCTTGCAACTAAGGAAAAAGGCAATACAATTCTATGTCTACAGAGGTTATATCTAGAGACGAGTACTGAGCCTAGGAGACGACCCTACGCTTGTTATTAATGATGAGGAGCTTTAGAAGTATCTTATTATAACCTCTTACTATTATGGGGGTTATAAAGGCAGAGAAGCAACCGTCTATATTGTTTCCCGCTGCTATTTCTAGCGAGGTATTAGATGCAAGGTAGAGTTAATTATTAGGACTTGTCTAATTTGTTAGATTTATACTGCCTAGAGACCGGTAGAAATCGCTAAGCCTACTACTCCTTGGTATCTTATGATGAAGATCTATATCAACGGATAATACCTTCCTAATGACGACAGGATGAAGTTCTTATTAGAAGCTAGATGCAATTTAACGGGATGGATTAAAGCTATACCTTATAAGGTTCTAAATGTAGTAAATGTCCGGAAGTTTATTAGAAGGATCCTCTATTGCTATAATATGCCTGTAAAGATTGTTACTAATAATGGAAGCGAGCTGGCGAAAGGAATCTCTAACAAGCTAGACAACCTGGGCATTATAATGGCTAAGATCTCCTTCTACAATTCCAAGTTAAATGGGCTGATTGAAGTCGGTTATATATCCTTGGTTAACTATTTTAAGAAGCTCAGCTGGCTAGAGAAGTGGGTTGGGTTGGTAGACCAGGCTCTGTTTGCAGATAGGTCTACGATCCGTGGGTCCCATAGATACTCACCCTTTTGGCTCCTTCATGGATGGGAATCTATCCTCCCTATGGAAGTCAAAGTCCCAACCTGGAGACTTATTGATTGGGATGAGGTCCATACTAGGGAAGATATTATCTTGGCTTGAATCCGAATCCTGGAAAGATAATAAGAAGATCGGGAAGCTGCTAGATAGAAGGTTAAGGAATATCAGGAGAACCTGGCAAGAAAAACAACTACTTTTAATACCTTCAAGCTGAGGAAAAAGCCACTATTGTTAGGGGACCTTGTTCTTCTCTATGATGTTAAAAACTACTACGACCTTTCCACTGCGGCTAAGCTTAAGTTAAAATGGCAAGGATTCTACAGGATTTGAAAGGCTTTAGTGGAGACTAGAATCTATATTCTTAAGTCTCTAGATGGTGTAAAGATGGCTGGAACCTACTATAGGGACCGGATTAAGGTTTTTGTGAAGAATGATTAAGGGTGGTGGGCCAGCCCTGATGATGTAGAGGTTTGGGGACCTCCTACTGAAGATGAGGATGAAGAATCTGAGGAAGAACTATCTTATGATAAGATATATCAACCCAGTAAGGTAGAAGATCCATCAGATGATGCCTATTCCGCGCCTGTCCTTCGTCTACGGAGGGGACCTAGGGGGGATTTCCAGGTTTGCATCCTAGAGATGAGTAAGGAGGCTAGAAACTAATATAAAGCAGTCTAGAATATCTCATTAGATATTTAGGGATACAGCTTCGGCTGGGGATAGCGGTGTTGCTATATGGGGAGGCGGATAGGGGAGGCAAGATATAGAATTACTAAAGAGACTTAGATGTAAAGAGTCTAGACAGCCAAGACTCAATAAAATAACTACCTAGAAGGAGTCCGGCTGCTGTGAACAACACCTTACGATAAAGAGGAATAGTATAGAGGAAATCTATCTGGAAGAGATGAGGGTGGTGCCAACTAAGTAGTAATGTCATTCCCTAGGCATTTGCTATTGACTACCTATTCTACAAGGATGGAAAAAAGGACTGTTTTTTTTTCTTTTTCTTTAATAGGGAAAGAAACCCATTAAGACCAATTAAAGAGCCCGGTACCCATTGTGAAGAGCCTGAGCAGAGATCTAGGAAGCCTAACGACAAATCTTAAGGTTAGACGCACTGCCAGCCTCAGAGGGATATTCGCCAATGATCCGAGGGCAAGAACGAGGGTTGAAGATGTCAGAAGCGTAAGAGGTCGATATATTCGGGTTTGTGGCTCGACTACCAAGAGGAAATTTCCGAGGACCTTCCTGACGACCTGAAGCTATGTACCTATGGAGGCATTTCCAGTTGCAATCAGTCCGGTTATGCCAAAGGCAATTAGCATACATCCTATTTATATATCCCGGGGCCGAAATGCAGGCATAAAAAGGGGTCAGAATGTGTTTGTTGAAGCGGGTGGTTGTCGAGAGATAGCTGCGGATACAATAGCAACACATAACCGGATTGATGACCCCGACAAAGGCAACAATAAGGGCCTTGATAAGATATGGGTAGGAAGGAAGGTTCATGAAGAAGTACCCTCCAGGATGAGCCCAGTCTGCTGGGATAAAGACCTGCTGGAGAGTGCGGGTGGCCAAAAGTTCTATCCCTGCTGTGATGGACGAGTCTTGAAAAGGAAGCTGCTTGAGGAACTAGACGAGGAAGGCCTTTCTGGAGCCGGTGGCAGGAAATTGGACATCCAACTTGATGTATAGAGGGCGGCCCAGTCGGTCGAGGGCCTGGAAACTACAAATCCAAACCCGGAATGACTTTAGGACCTGGAAAAGCATTTTATTAGATGACCTGAACTGATAGAAGGGAGATAAGGGACCTTATTAAGGCTGGAATTAAATTAAGCTTCGATAAAGAAAAGGGGCGAAGGAGAATGGTATCTTGACCCTTCTAAAAGGTACTAGACCGTCGTGAGAACTCATCGGCCTTGACTCCACACTCAGCTAGATGACGAACGTTAGGAAGCTTCTCTTGAGGGAGGCTGGAAAGAATGATTAGCTTGTCTTGAAGAGATGTTATTGTAGAGGCTATTTCGATGTTGCGATGATAGAAAAAGAAGGGAAGTCTGCGGCAGGATGAGGCTAAAACTCTGATATTAGTGATGTGGAAGAGAAAGAGGCTTCAAGCTTAAAGAACCCTACCTTAGGGCTAATCCGGCAGGGCTTTATTGTAAAGTGCAAGAATTACAAGAAGTAGGTATCCTTATTTGCTATAACTTATAAAGGAAAATTAATAAGAAGGTCTGGAAAATAATAACTGCTGTCTCTGTGATTTACCGTTATAAAGAGAACCGAGCCCCATAGCATAAAAGACCCTTGAATACTTAGTCTCTTGAAAATACCAATACCCACACATTCTTCTTGTATTCTAGCTGCTGTAGAAATTAACGCTGTAACTTGCGCCTCCAAGTTGCAATTCTTTTCCTATTAAGCCTAAATCTCGACTACCATCTCATTAGTTGCTTTTCTTCCTACTAACTGACTTTCGAATCCATTGCTGCACCACGGAACTCAGTACGTAATGGCTACCTCTGACGAGGCTGTGAAGGAGAAGGTGCAATTCTACTGCAGTATGAAATTGCTAACTCTCTATGAAGGAACTGTTCGAGGGGAAGGTGGAAAAGGGAGCTTCCTCTACTATGAAGAGAACCTTGCGAAGATGTTGCTGACCGAAAAAGTCGGCCAACAACCGACTCTCTATCCTTCCCGCCTGGATTGGTCCTATTGGGACGAGGAAAAGACTGAATGCCCTGTTCTAGGGGATGAGGAATTGATTAAAGCTTGGGCTAAGACTATTAGACTGCACCCCGACTTCAGCGAGACTGACTTTGGGACTTGGGAAGGTTACTGTGGCGATCTCTGGGGCCTCCAGTATAAGCTTTAGTATGAGGATCTCTCTGCTAACTTTGGTCTTATTGCTTTCCTATGAACTATGATCTATGGAATAAGGGATGTTGTGGCTGTTGTATCTTTCAGTCTTGACCTTGAAATCTATGTCCTCCGAGCCAATAAATGGGGGAAAGAGATCTTCTCGACCAAGCTTCTAAAAGAAGGCGTTCTGGTTATGAAGAACTGTCCTACAATGAGCTTCCAACTGATTTGAGAGACTATATTTAACTGCGGCTACCTTATTAGCATTATTAACTTTGCCAATAAATATTATTGGATTGGCTATATCTGGGATGCTAGGGCAAAGTAACTCTCTCTCTTTAATATGATAGACCTTTAAAGGAAGGAACAATTCAGGGCTGCTGGGGTTGCCTGGAGGGAGATTATGACTGTTAATGGTGCCCCATTTAACTTCTCTGTCTACGGTATGCCAGCCTCTGCCCAGTTCTACGGTTGGGAGTGTAGCTTTCTTGCAGTCTTTCTTATAACTTTAACTATTTGTGGTATGGTTGGCCTGGATAAGTAGTAGATGTAGGGAGGGATCCCAATGGAGAGACTAATCTTCGACGACCCGAACGATAAGCCGGTAAGTATCCCTTTTAAGCTATAATTTCGCAACTGGAAGCTTAGCGCCGTTAAGTCAAAGCCCCCGCCCCAGCCAAAGAAGAAGGGGAAAGCCGCTAAGAAGAAGGAGATTGTGGATTAGGACTTGGATCTGGAGTGCGTTAGAAGCTTTATTGGGTGTGCTATTATAGAGGAGCTTGGGATCCGGGACTTGATATATAGCAAGGGTATAGATGAGGTCTGCTGAAAAATCGACCTCTCCCACGACTGTAAGCATGAGTTCATAACTACCAACTAGAAACTCAGGATATCAGATCTCTACACCAACCTTAGTGGGTTTTCCCCAGTTAGCTGGAAGAGTCTTAACCTTAAGAAGCTCCCCGATGCCTATCGAATTATCCCTTATCCTGCTATCCCTTTTGGTTAGACGTTCCGCTCTATAATAATATATAGATCAGACTACCAAAAGGTTAACTTCACTATGGCCGACAACCTCGTCAAGATATTCAAGAAGAGAGGATTTGAGGTTCAGAAGGGGATTCCTAAGCTACCTGGAATTACAGAAGGGAGTGTTATCTCTCTAGGCTTGACTATCCCAGAGAAATCACCAACAGCTCCTAAGCCTGCATCTGAGATTGTACCTGTGGTACCCTCTGGGGGTATCGAAGAGATGGAAATGATATTCGGCAGAACTTCCTCTTCTCCTAGGCCCTCTAGACATTCTGAAGGGATAGGGAGAGGAGCGGTATCTTTCCTGATGGAAGGGGTCAGGGATATCAGGGCCTCGCCATCGCCACCTCCAAAGTCGCCGGCAGTATCCCAAATTGAGAGGGATATCCGAAGCCCAAGTCCTCGTCAGCTTGCTGGGTTGGATGTGTCGATGAGAGACATTCATGGAATGTCCGCTAGGAGTGACGTCTTAATAAGGGATCCATCGTCCAGCCCACTACGTCGTCAAGCTGCCAGATCCCACAGGACCCCGACTGTTTCTACTGTCCAATTCATCGATGGAGCCATCTTTGCTACTTCAACGATAATACTATTCTTAAAGGACGAAGCGAGTATAATAACATCTCTATCAGTGAGGGTGCAAAGAAGATGACTATCGACACTAACCGAATGAACCTTCCTCGTATTTTTAAACGACCTACGCTGTTTATGCCCAAGTCCGAGTCCTATGCAACTTATATCCCGGAAGGTCTGATTTCTCTTTCCCAGTAGGAGGAGCTGATTGACGCCGCCTATACGGATGTCATCCCTCCCGCTATTGCAAAGATCAGTTGGGAGGAACGTTACTGTCAGCGTGAGGCTTGTAAGTGATGGTTGTTTGGTGTGCTGTTCTGCTTTCTCCGGTGGATTGGAATGGTGATGGATAGGGAAGCTCGTGGTGAAGGGAGTCGCCCTCAATGGAGGAAGTTGGTCTTCAGAAGCTTCTAATGAGATGCTTCTCTAATGTTTGCTGTATTTCTTTGGTCGGAATCTTAAATGGGGAGGCTGTTGTATTGTGCGCATTCCTGGCCTGATTGGGGACAATCATCGGATCGCGGGGGAGGGATGTGACAGGCGGTTAGGGACACTTGGGCTAGCTGGTCGCTAGCGGGGATGTCTCTAGGGTGACCCGGATGGGGTTAAAAGGGGAGGTCAGTGCCGTCACTAGGGGAAATCATCGTTTTTCCTTTATTAGAGATTCTTCCTAGAAGTTAGAGAGGCCGGAAGGGCTCGAGGCTGCTAGGGAGTCTATTAATTGATTGCCTTTATTTTTAAGAGATTTATTTGAGCCTTCTTGCCGTTACTACGCTCCCTGTCCAACCTCCGTCTTCAACCTCCCTCAGATATCGGGCTGCTGCAGGCCCTATTGATGCCTTGCCAGCGAACTTTCCTGCGACCGACCCGATATTCTATCTTATAAGATGCTTCCCTATCAGGAGACATAAGCCTAGATTGATCCGACCTTATACGCGTAATCTGGTGTAGCTTCGGGCTGACCGGCTAAGATGCCTGTGCGACGACTCTCTGTGTATTTCCCCTAGGGAAGTTAATGAGTTGGGTGTTGTTTTCCGTCCCTTCCTGCTGCTAAACTATGTAATAATTCTTTATATAAATTCCCTAGAGTAAGTTAATAAGTTGAGTGTTGTTTTTATCTCTTTTTACTGTTAAAGTAACTTTTAAATTTAGTTATTTTACTTGTAGTTAATATAATATTATAGGTATTACTTAATTATTTAGTTAAGTTTTTTTATTTAGCTATTTACTTATAGTCTTTAAGTTATTATAAGCTTGTACTTTAATTTTATTTAAGTTATTAATTCTTATTAGAATTTAGATATAAAAATTATTTCTTTATTAAATATAATTTCTCTTAGTAATTTATATATATTAATAATATTTCTTAAGAATATATAAGAAAGTTATTTTATATTAGTAGACTTTTAATAGAGTAAAAAATATATAAATTTTATAAGTTTATTTATAATAATAAATATATTATTATAAAGTATTCTAATTATTAAATCTTTAAATAATAGAAGCTTAATAATATAATTTATAATAATAATTTTTAAGATTATTATATTATTAATAGTAGTTATAGTTATTTATAAAACTTATATTATAGTAATTTTAATTTTTATATAGGTTATAATCTTTAATAATATTTAAATAACTTTCTTTATTTAAAGAAATAAGTATATTATTCTTAATTTTATTAAGAATTTTATTAATATTCTAGTATTTATATAAAGGATATTTATATATTTCCCATACTAGCTATTCTTATAATTTATTTAAAATTTATAATTAGTTTATTTATTCTTCTTTAAGAAGTATATTATTATACTTCTAGATTTTCTTTAATAGTAAGTTTTTCTATTTTACTATATATATTACTATAAGAATTTATTTATTAAGTTATTAATAAATTATACTTTTTTATTAAATTAATTATTATATTTTATTTATCTTATTATACTTTATATATACTATCTATAGGGTAGTTATCATTCTTAGATATTATATAATTATAATAGAATATTATATAAGCTTAGCTTTTTATAAGCTTCTTAATTTAGTAGTATTTTATTCTTTCTTTTAAAAAGCTAAATATTAATTTCTAAGATATAAATACCTATTATAATATATTAATATTCTATAATAATAATTAAATTTATTAGGGAATATTCTATTATTATTATTATAAAATAAGTATTCTTAGTAAATCTTTTTTTACTATTTTTTATTAAGTATCTTATATATATTATATTATTTCTCTAGATATTTTTAAAAATATATAATATACTTCTATTTAAAATATTCTTTTAAAAATTAGCTTAAGAAGTTATTTATTTTCTTAAGAATACTAGTATTAAAGTTAGGTTATTAACTAATATATTAACTTTATTATTTTTTAATTTCTTCTTATAAATAATAATATAATTAAATTCTAATAATATTTTATATAATAAAATTACTTATTATTAAGCTTCTAATAATTAGTAAAATATAAAATATTTATTTAGTTTTTTTAGCTTTATTTAATATTATTAAATAGATTAAAGCTATATAGTAATCTTAAATAGTAAAAATAAATAATAAGAGCTATATTTAATATTAAAAGAAATAGTAGCTAAATAATAAAATTATTACCTATTAATTTCTATTTAAAGCTTTTATTTAACCTCTTTAACTTTAATTCTATTATTTATAATTAATAATCTTACTATCTATAGTTAATAATTTTAAGATAATAATCTTATTCTAAGTAATAGAATATAAAAAAAACTAATATCTTCTATTATTAAGAAATTAACTTTCCTTTTAATACTTATTCTATTATAACTAATTTTTAATATAATAAATTTTATTTAAATAGCTCTTTTTAGAGATAACTTATTATATTTATATTATAAATCCCAATTTAATATAATATTAAATTCTCTTAAAATTAAAAGATAAATTAAAAAAATAAAAGCTAAATTTTTCTTAAGCTTTCTTAAAAAAGAAAATCTATTTAAATTATTACTATATTATTTACAATATCTAAATAAAAACTAATAAATTATATTAGCTATTTTTAGATATTATTTACTTCTTAATAATAAGATTAGAATTAATAGATAAGAAAATCAAATTCTTATCTACAATCTTATCCTATATATCCAAATAGAAATAGATGCGCTTTACAACTTGGCCAAAAATATCAATAATTCTGATTTAAGGGGTTAAGTTTTCCTTTAGGATATTGCCGGGGCCTAATATAACTCCTGGTTTTAGGAGCTGTTATATTGTATTGAGTTGGTATGGATGCTAGTATATAGAGTGCTAGCTAGAGGGGGGATTTAAATAACTTAATAGGTTATTATTGGTATTGGGGATCTTGAGGTATTTAGTTATAAGTTGGGTTGTGGGAGTTTTAGTGTATTTATTAAGATTAGAGTTAAAAAAGTTAAATAGGATTTTAATAAAGAAAGAAAAAGCAGCTTAAAACTTAAAACTTAGGCCTTAGTAATTATAATATATATATAATAAAAATATAGTAAATTTAAATACTAGATTTTCTTATTAAGGAATAAAATATTTTTATAATTAATATAAATCTTAATTTTATACTTACTTTTTAAGAGATAATATTAGAATTTCTTAAATAAGTTAATTATAATAAGGAATTTTTTATTATAAATAGAGTAGTTAAGTTTTTACTTTATATAATTTATATAAGTAAAAGGCAATTAGATGCAGTTTTCTATTAATATTTCTTTATTTAATTTAGAATTCTAAATTAAAATTAAAAGAGTTTATTTTAAGCTTAACTTCTTTTTCTAAATTAAATATAATTAAGATTAATTTACTAAGAATTGCTTTCTTAATATTATTAAAAGCTTTTTATATTTTAATATTCTATTTAAATTTTACTTTTTTTTTATAAATTCTATAAGAATATATTTAATATTTTTAAAATTACAAATAAACTTTTAATAGTAATTAGTAAATTCTAAGAAGCTTTATACTTTTTTAATATTTTTAAATTTTAATTAATCTTTAATAACTTTAATTTTTTTTTAATTTATATAAATCTTATTTAAATAAATAATATATTTAAGAAAGTTTACTTTATTTATATAAAACTTGCTTTTTTCTAGTTTAATAAGAAGGTTTATATTCTATAGTTTTTTAAGTATTATATAGATATATTTTATATATTCTTCTTCTATATTAAAAAAGATAAGAATATTATTAAGATAATATATAATAAAGATATTAAGATATTTTATAATATATTAGTAATTATCTATTAGAAGGTTATTAATATATTAGTAAGTTTAAAAGATATAATTAGATATTTAAAAAGTCTATACTTTATATAAAAGATAGTCTTTTATTTATCTTCTAGCTTAATATAAATAAGATTATTAGCTCTTTTAAGATTAAGAACTATAAATTACTTCTTATTATATAATTAATTCTTTAATTTATTAATAAGTAGTAATAATATCTAGTTCTTAATAGTAATATTATTAAGCTATTTATAATTTATTACTGGTTATAATTTTCTATTTTTTTTTAGAAATAAATATAATTAGATATTTTATAGAAGACTTTAATATTTTAATAAATCCCTTTTTAATATATCTTTAAAATATTTTTTTAATATATAGAGTTAAACTTTATTAAGATTATAAATCTTATAAAACTTAGCTATAATTTTATTTTTAAATATTATCTTATAATTCTATTAACTATACTAGAATAAATCTATTTTTATTTTTTTAATAAATAGCTTTTTATAAATATAATAAGTAGGTAGTATATTCTTAAAATTATTATTTGCTTTCTTATATTTCTTTATTTCTTATAATTCTTTATTAAACTTTATAAATTATACTTATATATATATAATAATATAGTATATCTTATTATTTTAGGTATTATAATATTTATATCTAGTATCTTAAGATAGCAAAATATCTATTATATTATTATATGTTACTTTACTAGTATTATTATTAATTAAAGTTTAAGGTTTTATATTATTATCTAAATTCTATTTATAGAAGGAATAATTATTAATATTATTAAAGGTTATTTAGCTAGTTCTCTAATTAATTA